AAGACAATTAGCTTTTTACAATATATACAATTGAGTATATATATATATATATATAATAGTAGGTAGAAACATTGCAGCGATCTTGCTAAAAGGTTACCAGGAGCTGTAGCTCCACGAAATAGTTCAACGCTGTATTACTAAAATATGAACTAAGAAGAATTTTTAAAAAAATTTATCTGGAAAAACTGGAAAAAGACTGTAAACACGCGATGTGATTGATCTGAGCCTGTGAATCACATCGCGTGTTTACAGTTTTTTTCCAGTTTTTCCAGATAAAATTTTTAAAAAAAATTCTTCTTAGTTCATATTTTACTAATACAGCGTTGAACTATTTCGTGGAGCTACAGCTCCTGGTAACTTTTTAGCAAGATCGCTGCAATGTTTCTACCTACTATTATTTCGTATCTTTTTGCAGCATTATGCGCAAAAAAATTTTTGAGACCAAATAGGTCTTACGTCTCATTACTAGTTAGCTTTACATTTCTTTTTCAATTATGTATATATATATACATATTCCTAATTTGTTACCCGCCTCGGTGAGCTCAGGGTTTTACCTTATATATTGGTAAATTATGCATTTTTTGCTTTAAAAGTGATCGAATTATATTTTTCATATATTCCGGTTAAGGTTTTTATGCCTTTAGTTAACCTGAATGCAATAGTTGTAGAATAATCAACAGTTTAAAAATTTAAGTAGAGCTAGGCCTCACCAGGCCGCATTTCTTTATTGACCTCTTAGTAGAATAGTCAATAAAGTCAGTTGGTGCACCAACTGCAGTGTCGTTCTGCCAGTGAAAACAAACGTGTACTTTCAGTTTTGTCGTCCTGTCCGCTTGCCGAAGTGCTTGTTTTTGCGTGGAAACTCTAATTTTAATAGTAAAAGAAAATAATAATAATAGCTGTTTTTAACTGTATTTGGAATTTAAAGGTTTTTCTGTAGTTTACAAATTTTAAGGAAGATTGAGATTTTATGTATTTTTGCTTTGCCACGTAGTGAGAATTGAATTGATTGAATTAGAAGTATATCCTCTAATGGAATTCGAGGAAATAAGTTTAAGTGAAGTTCAGCAAAAATGTGTAAAATAGGCCGTACAGGGAAGTCATGTTGTGTCCGCATCAGATTCTGTATTTCGATGTGAGTCAATGGGAAACGAAAGATTAATGTTTGTATAAATAATTTATTTTTAAGATTTAGTAATTCAAATTTAATGCATGTTTTATTAATGTTTATGTCTTCTATGTTAAGTGCAATTTAAATACTTGCTGTCGTAGATAAAAACGGTTTATAAATACTGGTGATATCATCTTATATAATATCTGCTGTTACCTCCCTCATTACCATCTTTTTTTGTGCTTCCCGAAGGAATTTTCGTTTACTATGATGCTTTAGATTAGTAATTTTTGCATCTTTCCTGAATAAACAAAGTTAAATTTTTTAGACAAAGTCTGGTTAATTTGTTCCCGGTTAATCTGACGTTGACTGTGTGGCCCACCAGCGGCCGAGCGGTAAAATCGCTGAACACTGGTAGTTCGGTCCGAGGTTCGAATCCCGCGAACGGCCTGGCTGCATGGGCGGTTTCGTGGTTTTCCCCAAGTATAATGTGTATACGAGACGGTTTCCCTTAAAAAGTCCTCCATGAAGGCATTCCTCCCCTTAGGCAGATAGCCCTAGTGTGCTTTGCCGTATTCTCAATACACACACACACAAACACACTGACGTTGACTATACTATAGTATAAAATGCGTAAGTATTCACTGGAAGGAAAAACCTAAATTAGTATATAACACTGCAAGAAAGTGTTTAAAATTTTTAAAAATAAATTGAAAATGGTTAAAAAGTATACACAATCATGTAAAGTTTTATCAGATTTTGTAGGGAAAATCACAGGTATCCAGTCTTGAACCGAGATCTCAGGGCGAAAGTCTGAAGACCGTGGAGAATTCTTCGGCTTTCATCTTTCCGTCATAAGAATTGCAAAGGCAGCAACTTCATCCTAATTTCAGTATTGGAAACCTTGGGGTGTTATAAGTGGAGAGAGGCGTTTAAATCACTCTCCAAACGTGTGACGAAATTTCAGAATTGACCGTCTTCAATTATCCATTTTCGTGCCCCACTTTTCATTTTTGTGTTCACTGATGAGGGATTTGATCTTTCTCATGAGCCTATTAATGTCACTTTTGAGGTCAAGGTTCCATGTTTTGCAGTAAAGTTACCAGACTTTATTTCGTTTTGCGATTACACCTCTAATATGCTCAGGATAGATATTGTCCATGCGTATATTTTTGATTGGCAAAAGTCGTGGCTTGAGACTAGAGCTTGGAAGTGAAGTTAGGAATAGTTGTATCAATATCATACAGTTTTTAAGTTGCCACATTAAATGGGAAGGTCAAAGCGATATTGTGGAAAAGTTTCCAATTCACCATCTTCTTTTGGAGGGGGGGAGGAGTCTTTCTGCGTTGCTATGATCAGAATGTTATCCGATGATAAATCAATAATCATCTCTAGTTACATGGGAGTTCTAATGAACGTGAGGAAAAGAGCATATATTGATTTTACGACTCAAAATATGCCAAAGTGCCAAGTTTTATAAAATTCGCACGAGTAGGTTTTAAGAATTTAGCTCTAAACATTTTAGCGCCTTAATGCTAATTGAACTGGTATATATTTATTAATATCTGTTTTTTAACACGCTTATTAATTCCTTTTTTCACAGTTCGAAATTTAGGTACAGTCTAAATAAAGTTAGCATATATTTTCTGATTTATTTTTTAAAGTTTGTATTTCTTAGTAACTTTTATAATTTTTTCGAAAAAATTTTTAGGCCCACCAGCGGCCGAGCGGTAAAGTCGCTGAACACTGGTAGTTTGGTCCGAGGTTCGAATCCCGCGAACGGACTCGCTGCATGGGTGTTTTCGTGGTTTCCTCATGTGTAACGAGTATACGAGCCAGTTTCCTTTAGAAAGTCCTCCACGAAGGCGTCCCTCCCCTTAGGCAGATAGCCCTAGTGTGCTTTGCCATAATTAAATACACCACCAAACCACCGAAAAAATGTTTAAATTATAAACTATAAACATTTTACCATCACCTTAAAGTAGATGTATTTCTAGGCATACCTGAAAGAATCAGAGTTTTTTATTCAAAATTTCCAACGACACACGTGAATTTATATACTGACGCATTTTTAAATTTGCCACATTAGTTATAACGGATAATAACGCCAAATGTGCTTTACGCACTTTATTAAAATTGTATGAAAAAATGAACGATGCACTATTTTTCCGCTTGTGCATAATGAAAAAAATCTGATGTGTAGACCACATTACTTCCTTGTACGGAGTATTAAATTATATGCATTTTTTCTTGCATTTAAATTTATAGAATTGAATTAAATTTACTTCGTCGATAACGCAGAAACTACAATAGAATAAATGCACTCTTTAAAACTCACTATATTTGTTTACCATAGCGACACTCTGGACCCAGGTTCACTTAACAGCGTTATATTTCATTCATTTTTTTAAACTCAGAATGCACAAATTTTATATCATCTTAAGAATTATCTAATCGTTGCCACATGTTCTATTCAAATACTATAATAAATCTAAAACGATGTATAAAAGAAATTAAGCAAAAAACAACAACAAAAAAGAAACAGCTTTCACGGACGATTCAGTATTTCTCATTCAATTAATTCGGGTTTCACGTCGCGACAAGGCAAAAATACATGAAAACTCAAAATTATTTGTATTGAAAATTATGATACAATCTTAAACACTTATTTCCTCGAATAAATTCCAGAATGATTTAATTCGCAATAATAAAAGAAGGCGTTATCTTTGTTATTGCGAAGCTTCCTTTTCTAAATTGGCAACAAATCTACTATTCTTGGCAAGTTTCAAAATGTAAACAAAACATGGCTGCCATCGACAAAAATTAATTATGACTTAGCGGCACTTAAACAACGTTTTAAATTGTTGCTAATTCTAAAAACATTGCATACAGATTTACTAAAGGCATTAAAACCTTAACCGGAAGATAAAAACAACATAATTCAGTCATTGTTTGAAGCAAAAAATGTACAATTTACAAACATATAAGAGTAAAGAAACTGAGATCACTGAGCCGGGTAACAGAGTGGATATGTATATAATATATTTATATACGTTTGGTGCGGCCGATTGCAACCAAAAACGAGGTGCCACATGTTATAGCAGTCCTATAATACAAAATTTCAACGTTCTGAGGCTATTCGTTTTTGAGTTATGCGAGATAAATACGTTACGTACATTCGTACAGACGCCACGAAAAAAAGTTCTCTTCAGAATCCATTTTAAATTAGTTTTGTAATTCGTTTGGAGGGGGAAAAAGTTCTTTATTCTGTCCTTACGTACAGATGTTACGCAAAAACATCGTTAAATTGCATTCGATAGCGGTCAAAATGGATATTTTCGTTGAAATATGCTGCCTGAAACTTTTCGCGATGACAATACTTCCTTTTTACTTCGTACAAGGGAGTAAAAAGGGAAAGGAAAATATATTTCTAAAATTAGGAATTTCAACAACTGAATTCATTTTTGGCGCAAGCTGAAAAAAGTGCGCCGAGAAACAATTTAAAATTTCTCGGTAAGTTTCTCACCACATTTTTCAAAATTTAATATTTGTGCATAGTTTGAGTCGTAGAATAGAAATATGGGGGTTGGGAAAAGGTGCGTAAATCTAATATATAATAATACTAAGTCGCACTTTTGAAGCATAAAAAATGCAAATTAAGTTTCTTCAGTCAGTCCAGTAGAACGGGAGGTGAAAACACTTTTTTTCTTTTTTCCCGCAGAGTGTTCCTGGTACCAACTAATCTTAGAGTTTTTTTTTTTTTTTTTTTTTTTTTGTGTTTACTCATAAAACTGTTGTAAATGTTGGTTGTTATATGAATAATGTATAGCAAAAAAAGTGTTCATATGAATTTCTTCTCTGCTCCATAGACTGTTTTCTCTATTTTCAGGCGCACAAGGTCTTTAAATGCTCCGAGTCCTATCTGCCAGTTTGGACCTTGTGGTCGGATCATGAAAAATTCAGCCATGGTAATGTAAGTCATTTCATAACTTCATTCATTCAATACTTTCTTATGCTTACATTTAATACTTTATTATAATGCAGTATAGTGATCATAAAAATGAGTGAAATAGCATTTGTGTATCCAGAAGCAAGATATCCTAAACCTCAATTAGTAGAATCACTTATTGTTTCAATGCCGCTTAAAATTAAATAACGCAGCTATCGTCAGGAGTCTTTCACAAGTCTTTCTGATACGTTTGAAATTCATTACGTTTCGTTACGTTATGCTGTCATGCATTTATCATCCATGAAATTTAGCAAATATTACCCTTCCCCGAAACATTTCAATTCCTCATATAGGTGACTATTAATGTATATGGGTAACGTTTTCGACAGCCAGACAAGATGAAGCAATTACTTCAAGTGATAAAACAAGAGAGATATTAAATTAGCTAAGATTATAAAGTATTTCTCCCGCTTTCCTAGCGTGCCTTCGTGGTGTAGTGGTTCTGCACACTGGGCGTTATCCAGATGTCCGTGGTTAGAATCCCGGCGAAGGCGGTTGCTAATGTTTCATCTTGCCAGCTTCCAAAAAAAATGAATTTAAAATAGATTCAAATGAGATTTTTTTCGTGACATTATAAGGTATTTCCCCCGCATTCTTAGCATGCCTTCGTGATGTAGTGGTCAGCACGCTTGACGCGTATTCGAGAGGTCCGTGGTTCGAATCTCGGCAAGGGTATTGCTCATTTTTCACATATCTCCTGCTTTCAAAAAAATTCCTAATGTCTCTACAGTGGCGCCCGAACTAAAAGGATTGTGGATGATGATTTTCTACACCCAGGATATGGCGACTAGGTCCCCTAAAACTCTAGTCGCCCTTTAAAAAGGGGAGTATATAAAGTATTTCTCCCGCTCTCTGCCTTCGTGGTCTAGTGGTTCTGCACACTGGGCCGGTATCCAGAGGTCCGTGGTTCGAATCCCGGGGAAGGCGGATGCTAATGTTTCATCTTGCCTACTTCCAAAAAAAAATCCTAATGTCTCTACAAGATAAATAAGCATTTAATGTTAAAAGGGAAAAACAGATTAATAGATAAATAAACTAGGGTTGAAATAAAGTAATTAAAAAAAATGAGAGAGAGAAACAGTCTGAAAGATTTCAGATTTTATCGGTCACCCAAAATGCTTTGTTAAAGATTTTTTCGTTCTTGCTGAGCTTCGCAATCTACCAAATCTGCTGTTACATTCACTCCTATTAACCCCCCCCTTTGTTTTTCGTTTTGGCTTTATAATTAAGCATAATTTTCTTCGCACTTAAACCATATACAATTCAACAGTAAAATTACAAAAATTCTAAAAGTAGCATAGCAGTATACGTTTAAAATTCGCGATGCAGCGTTAAGTATTGGAATACATTTTTCTGTTTTTTTTTTTCCGGTCTTTTCTCAGTTAATCATATCAATGATCAGTTTTCTTACAAAGATGGCTTGCAAACATTTTTGTTTTTTTGTCTTTTTATTATTAGTGTTTAAGATTGTATGATAATTTTCAATACAAATAATTTTGAGTTTTTATGTATTTTTGCCATGTCGCGACGTGAAAGCCGAATTAATTGAATGAGAAATACTGAATCGTCCGTGAAAGTTTCTTTTCGTTGTTGTTTTGTTTGCTTAATTTCTTTTATACATCGTTTTAGATTTATTATAGTATTTGAACAGAACATGTGGCAACGATTAGATAATTCTTAAGATGATATAAAATTCGTGCATTCTGAGTTAAAAAAATGAACAAAATATGAAATAGACAGTAACACAGATTTGAAATTCAAAATTCGAACTTCCGGGTGGCGCATATTCGGGTGAAGGACTAAGTTATTTGAAATTTAATTACTCTAGGTACCGTGTTTTTTCCCCAGTGCGAGAAACATGTATACATTCATGCAGATTCTTTATTATTTAATTTCTTTAAATACAATACATTGCGATAATACTTGGTGGCAACAATTTGAAAAGTGATAAAAGGCATTTAAGTGTTTCGGCGTAAAACGCTGTTTCGAGACTTATATCCCATTCCGGATTAACATCTCCTTTAGGATAATAAGCTGGGGTTAAGATAAAATAATTACTAAAATGGTTAAAATAAGTGTTTTAAACAAGATTAATTTGCGTTATTAACTGGTGTTATAAATGTGTCAAAGAGCTAAAGTCATCTTTTTTTTTTAATAATAATTTTTCGATTATATAAAGAGTGCGTTAAAAATGTATGCTCATTTTCTCAGATAGTATTTGCTTATTTGTTTCGAGGTTGAATTGATTTATCACCACAATGTGTAGTAAGATGCTTGCTCATCACACGAGTGTGATATGGGACATATGACAAATGATAGGGAATCAAATGGTTTTGAGTTACCTTTAAGGACGACGTGTACTGCAGGCAGTCACTATACTGGATGTACTTTGACAACAAATACAGCTGTCCCTCCAGACACATTGACTGATGCTGTTCAGGAAACCCTCGTCGTTTTGCTATGCATCTGGCAGTTAACGGCCACCACTTTTTACACTTTAAACATTCTAAGTACTGTAAAGGTAATTATTTTCGCGATTTTCGCGAGCCCGTCGTAATCGCAAAAATTTAAGTCTCGCGAAATACTTTTTTTTTTTTTTTTTTTTTGCGCCTCAAATAATAATAAAAAATCAAATTTTTCACTTAACCCAAAATTTAATGATTTATTGCACAGTTACAAGCTTTTCCTTGACAACTTTCTTCTTTAACGATTTTCGAATAAGATAAACTATTATTCTCGAATTAAAAACTATAAATTAATAGAAGGCAGCTCATTCATTCGAATACTATTTATACCAGCTTTTGAAGCCATTCAAAATTATCTCATGTTGGCTTCAATACCGTTAAATACGCGCACAAGTAAGAGCGTGAATCGGTTTTTAGTCGTATTTCGCAAGTCCACAGATTCTTTTCCTCTAGAAATTGAAGCTCATTAGAATACCACTCAATAAACTCATTCTTGAGCAAACGTTTGAACTCGCCATTTAGACGGGAACGGGGGAGGGGACGAACTTTTCGGACCAAAGGAAGTTTCTTAAAATGCTTTATGCTAAAGATGTACTTTTGGAATTTTTCAACTTTCACAACTTTACTTAGGTACTTTTGAAAATTTTCAACTTTCGGTTCTGCTCATATAAAATTCGCTAAATTTTCAGCTCGCGAGATCACCGATAAATTCATTTTCGCGAAAATGACGGCCCGCGAAAATAAGGGCCTTTACAGTAATTTTTTAAGTACAGGTGCAGGAAGGCTGTATTAAATTTAGCCTAATCTATGCTATGTATGCTTATATAAACCTATATATTTTATGAAGTTCGGTACAAACTCACAATAAATTCTTTTTATTAAAGCATCTGTACATTTTTTATATACCCTCTAGATATATTATAAGGCATTCCTCCCGCTTTCTTAGCATGCTTTCGTGGTGTAATGGTGAGCACACTCGACGCATATTCGAGAGGTCCGTGGTTCGAGTCTCGGCGATTGCATTGCACATTTTGAATCTCTCCTGCTTCAAAAATATCTGATAAATCTACAGTGGCTCCCGAAGTAAAAAAGTGGTGGATGATGATTCTCCACCACCAGGGTCCTCTAATCCCAAGTCACCCTTTAAAAGGGGGGATATGTAAGGTATTTTTCCGCCTTTTCGGCATGCCTTCGCGGTGTAATGGTCAGCACACTCGGCGCGTATTCGAGAGATTCGTGGTTCGAGTCCCGGCCAGGGCACTGCTCATTTCTCATGTCTTCGGGATCAAAATAACCTAATATCTCTACAATACAGTGCGATTAAGGGAATGTATAATTCAAAATTTTAGCGATATGGAAAGGCACGATCAATTAATAACATTAATTTATTGTTATAGTGACTGAAATTATTTTCTGCGATAGTATAAACAGGCTTTCTTGTAAAGTCTTTATATATACCTTTAATATCGATTGATGTGTTTTAAATTCGTAGAAACAATGTCTGCTGAGAGGAAAACAGCTATGCTTCGCCGACTCAAAGTTTCGAGTATTCTTAAAAGGTAACTGGGGGTAAGAAGAATATTCCTACCCGAAACGAAGCATGATAAAGGAAAATTTTTATTTAACAAAATTTTATAATGCTTTCTGTTTAGTATATGGAAAAGTGTAGTTCTCATTTAAACATGTGAACAGATGATAAAAAAACTAAGGTAAATTAAAAGCAATAAGTATGCAGTATCTGCTTTGCTAAAATGAGAATGGTAGTGGTATAGTGTGGTGTATTTAATTATGGCATAGCACACTAGGGCTATCTGCCTAATGGGGAGGGATGCCTTCGTGGAGGACTTTCTAAGGGAAACTGGTCGTATACACGTTACACATGGGGAAAACCACGCCACGAAAACACCCATGCAGCCAGCCCGTTCGCGGGATCGAACCTCGGACCGAACTACCAGTGTTCAGCGACTTTACCGCTCGGCCGCTGGTGGGCCCTAAAATGAGAATGATGATGATGTATGAGAATAAAAAAAATATGAGAATAAAACATGTAGCGAAAAAGTAATATTTCATTTCATAAACTAATTTTAACTTACGGAAGTTTATTAGTATTAGGTAACAACAACTGCTGCATAAAAGTTATGGAAAATACATATAACCTCTCTGAAATATATAAAAAATGCATGCATAAGAAATATTTGCAAATTATCTCATTTGATGAATGAAAGCATACAAAATGCGCATAAAAATGCCCTCAAGATTTGATGATATTCTAATTCGGCGTCAAATAAAAGGGGGACATCAGCAAAGATTGAGTGTTGCAGAATAGCTTTTTATCCAATAAATTTCATCGAAAAAGTGTAATATGTATGCTGAAATTTTACAACCAAAAATACGATACCACAAAGTACTATATATTTTCTGAACGGTTTGTTTCTTTATTCTTTTGGGCACCTAAAATCTTGTTTCCAAGAGACGAAATCGTCGACAACAAAAGTCTAC